TTGGATGAATAACTCAATCACAAAACCATGTAAATTCAAAATTTTACAAATTCTTTACCATACAGACTAAACCAGAATTCGCTCAAACTTTCTAACATGTGCTACGTTCCTCCTGGCAATATCACCAGTTGTCAATCGCAACTTTTATATGCAACATTGTCGCACAGCGTTGTTTTAAGTATTATCTACTTGGGATTCTATCTGCTGACAACATTCCCAACTAATTCTGCTTCATTACATCCTGTATGCGTCAACATACAATGGACATGTCGCAATTGCATACCATCACATTTCAACTGGTTTCATCCCAGATTCGGTTGTCTATCGATTAGTTCCATATTTTTTAAACTCTAGGTATGCAATTGCGATGTCGATTTGTGGACGCATACGATTTCTCTTAAGGGATGTTTGAAAATACACCTTTGCGCGAAAGGCATTCGGGAAGTTTTTGCAAGTAGCTAGTATGTAATTGATTCGCATACTTTTGCTGTTCTCTACAAGTGACGTTGTCCCATCGTCCAGTGTGAGTCACAAGTCATTTCTTCATGTAAAGGCACTTGCTGCTCTGCAAAGCGGAATGGGATAGGACTGTTCGTTCTGTAGGAGCGGAATCAAAGTAAGTAATAGTTTGAACTACGAATAAGCGATTTTTGAAACCTGAGACTCAAATAAACTTCTAAACGGCATTATAAAGTTCTAGGGCCACCCCTTCTTTTGCGCAAATCTACGATGTAGGCGGATGCTCTATTCTGTACCAATGTCCGCCGAAGCAGTCACCATGTCTCTCCACAACCACCACAGAAGCGTATCGATCCAGACATCCTAGCAAGGGTTTTCGGGGATTTCGATTCCCACTACATATACCATCGCGCTGCAGAGAGTTTACGTTCAACAACAAGCATTCCAGAACAGATTTATACTTGGAGTTTTCCAACACAAAAAGATAGTTGTACGTGGCCGGAGCTGTACTCTTTCGTCAGCTACATATCGAATTCATTGAAAACAACTATGCGAGTGATTAGAAACCTAGCAAATAGCTTAAAGTTTGGCTACATCGCGTTTCTGTATACTCCCTTAGCAATTTGCCTATAGGCGCATGCGGTGTACGTGTGTGGTTCGCTAATGGCAGCGTTTCCGGAGTACGATCTTAGCCTTCCTGCCACTACATCGATCTGCGCCAGTCAACTAATCGCAAACAGAGAGATTGTAGGGTAAACATTCAAAAAGGAAGCTTTTCGGAAAAGCAAAATTGCTTATCTCTATAATTCCCTTTATCGCCAACATCTTGATGCTTGTGGGATAAAAAAAAAAGCTGAAACCTGTTGCTTCCCCAGAAAGCAACAAATCCCATTCCTCAATCCAGTCCCGCTGGTATTCTCGAGTTTGCCAATGCTCTTGGCGTGAAGCCCTTGCTTTTCCTGCACAATAGCGTTCGAGCGGCAATCTTAGTAATTGCGCGTCATTCAATAGTTGGTTCGGAGAATCCTTCTGGACCCGTTAGGCTGCAAATTTCGAAATCACCGCCAATCTAATTTTCGCTAACATTCAATTTTTACTAGGGCTCTCCGAGGTTTTTCAAGTGACAAGCGTCTCATTACCTAAGAATTCAGCATTTATTATCGAAAAGGAGACTTAGAAAATTGTGTGCTCGTGCAGTTTCAGCGTCTAGCCCTCACAAAAATTACAGACAGCAAAAAAAAAACAATAACCTAGAAGCAGAAGGACATTACATATACTTGGATGAGCATGAGAGATTGTGGTCGAGGTGTTGTAACTATTATTTAAAGAGCAACTTGACGAAAACTTTTATCGACTCCAGCCATCATATCACTCAATATATTCCCCAAGCGTTTGCCTCCTCCGAAATGAGTTTCAACAGAGATGCGCACATCACATTTTATAAGCTGGTGCCGATGTATGCATGTGCATAG